TCTCTAACATTTGTTCTCCTGATTTCCAGATACAAAATGCTGAAGACAATATCAAACTCTGCTGTGTTTTTGTCTATTGTACTTGACATGAAAAAAAATTACATAGATTATGTGAGGAGTCCGGCATGTCATTTGGAGATGATCCACGACAGACCTGACTGCTATACTAGAGGTGGTGATGTGATCGTTGGAGGAATCTTAGAAATATCTATGTCTAATAAAGTTTATCTACCAGATTCCTTTCGCTCAAAACATCCTGCAATGGAACCATGTGCACAGTAAGTAGTTTGGGTTTATGGAAGGTGCCAGCACCTCCACTTGGCACATCCACGTAGCTGTAAAAGATGTGAACAAAATTCTGAACAAGTTATCGGAGTAACCTTTTCATATTGAGTTAGTTAAAGCTGAATTACAGGCAAATAGCTAAATACACATATGGGAGCAGCTTTATGGGCCAAAGGATTTGCATTTTTGTCCATCCACTCCTGGCATTTACTCAGTTTTCCCACACAGAACAGCCCTGTTTGACAGGACGGGAGACCTGATTTCTCCCTGCTGCAGTTTAATAACACTTACAGGTCTTGTCCCTCCCCCATTGAGAGCGACACCCCGAGTGTTACTCACCTGGATGGGATGACGCGGACGTCGGCCTGGAGAGTGGACTGACTTGCCTAGGGCAGCACCAAAGTTAAATACACCGCTGGTACAGCCCTGCACACCCATGTCAATGATAGTATAGTGTGTAAGAATGTTTTTTGGCAGCAACACACCACATTGTCTTAAAAGTTTCCTAAAACACCAAAACAGCGTGCACAAAAACTCCAGAACCCCACCCCCATATTTCTTGAACTCCCTCCCATCCCCGTATCCCCAGTTATTCACAAAATAATCAAGAAACTTTAGGTTTGAGTTTGGTAAAAAATTGGCCACAAACTCTGAGGTACAATCCAGAATTAACCCTGCAGCAAACATTAGAAATTTGAAAGCTGAGATTCTACTTCAGAAACTTTGTGTTGCCAGATACTTTAGAGCAGTGGTTCTCAACCTGTTTAACCTCAGGACCCACATACAGTATGTCCTTGGACATTAAGTCGCGACAGCTCTGTGCCAAGATGTATTGTACTGTACAGAACTCCAGTCCCGTGGTCTGATAATGGAGATGCTATATGCATTGTTATCCTGCCCACCACACTGACATTATATAACCTAAAATATATAGACACTCCCCCAAATTGAGTTCAGGTGTTTGTTGCTAAGTTGCACAAAGTCCCTAACAGCAGGCAAGCTGTTGGCTTACTCCTTTCTTACTCAACAGCACATAAAAGAACAAGTGTACCTATGTTCTGAAAGCTTTACTTCATTTACTTCTCATTTACTTCATCTCTGCTGATACACTGCAGAAGGTGGAAATGCATTTTCTGAGTCAGGAGGTATGGCAAGGATGATAGGAATGTCAAAATACATGCCCATGTGGCAACACAAAAGTAAGACTAATGGGATGAGGGTCATAAATAAATCTGATTATATGTTCTCTGCAAATTGTCCCAATCCTGAACTCTGTTTAAAGCGGATAGAATCAATCATACCTATTAATCATGAAATTCCATTTAACAGACACCCCTTAGACAATTAGGATTTTATGAATTGTTTCATTTATCTTCAAATACATAAATACACAATTCCAAAAAAATTGAATTTGTCAGTTAGCAGGTTTTTCCATCCAATTTGCGCATCACTAATTCTTAAGGGTCCCAATTGGAACCAGCCAATCAACTCACACATGTTCTTCCAAGCCTTGGAATACCTCAATGTACACTGCGACCCTAATACCCCTTTTCATCATTTTTTTCCCTGTACTACTTTGCAGTAACAAATATGCATTTGTTGTACTATTTCTTTCCCTCACAGAATTTTTTGAAGTTGATCCTGGTGGCATGTTTTGCTTCCTTGTCGAGTTTTGTGTTAGGAATCATCAGCAACAATGTATGCCGTTAACATTGTTTGCAATATACGTATTGTACAGTTTTTTTTTTAGACATTTCTGTCGCATACAGAACAACATTAATTGTCTCTCTTCAGGCATCCTGACAGGTTTCTGAGACATCTTCTGGTCTTCATGTTTGCCATAGAGGAAATGAACAACAGAACAGACCTCTTACCGAACATTACATTGGGATTCCAGGTTTATGATACATGTAATTGGGAATATGCAGCTGTACAGAGTGTTCTGGATGTATTATCCGGGTCGAGGAATCCAGTTCCAAACTATGATTGTCATAAGAAGAGTAAAGTGGTTGGGTTTATAGGTCAAAGTACCTCTTCTTTATCTTTGGCATCAGCAGCCTTGACTGGGGTCTATCAATACACTCAGGTAATGTGAATAACAGTTTATTTTAGTTTTGTGAAGAAATCAATTGCAAAAAGGTCTGGAAAAGTGGGCAGAATAATCTAAAAGCTTGCATTGAAATTTTTCATTTATTAGTTAAACATTAAAGCAAAACCTGTACTTTGCCCATGCGGGACAAAGCAACAATTTGCCTTAAATTACCCCCAACCTGGCTTTGCACCTTTCAACCTTTGGAAATAAAGAGAGGAAGTCCAGTGTAAGCTCTACGTCGCTCTAGTTGGCGCTCACAGAGGGCTGAGGATAATTCCCATTACCAAGAATGATGGTTCTGGATTGGCCAACAGGGATTCAGTTCAGATTCATCACTACTATGGGTTCTAGGTGAATCCTGCAAGTTTAAGGTTTGTGGTCCCAGACAAATTATGTCTAAATTCACTCAGGAGGATTTTTGTAAACCAAAATACATCACACGGCCAGAAAGCTTATTAGGGGCCAATAAGGAGGTTTTCGGAGACGCCAGTCCCCTCACTATAAAAGGGTGGGCTCTGGGCAGCCATAGTGTCAGTGTATTAGAAGCTGTTGTAGGGAAAGGACAGGGAAAGCTAACAAACTTAGGGTCGATTAGGAAATTGTAGCAAGGTTTACCTTCAACAGTGGCCATTGGCTATACCCGCTAGAAGTATTTTTTACATATGTCAGGCCAACTGTCTGCTTTACACTGGAAGTGCTTTGGGCATGTGTACAGCCACCTGATCACTTCCATGAGCTGTTAAATATGTGGCCTTCAACCCGACACCCCTTGCCTTGCTCCCCCTCCTGCGGGCCCAGGACCAGCATCACTAGTGGGGAGAAAGACCAGCAAACATGCATTTACTAATATCCTCCCTGCTGAATTCGGCCAGAAGTGATGATGATTTTATCACGTCTGACTTCTGAGATGTAATTTCCCGGCCAGAGAAGCCAGAGAAGAAGCTGATCAAGCACAATCTGGGCTTCAAAGGTGACATTGGGGTCTAATAGTTCCCTAATATCAAACTTCTTAGTCTCAGTGCTAGTGGAATCTCAGGGATCTTCAAGCAGTGACATCCTCTCCCCACTCCCAGTGGCAGCTCCTCACAGGGTCAGGGAATTCCTTAATACATGTAGAAAGATAAAAACAGAGCGCCCTTTCATGTGTAGAATTTTTTTTTACTGACGAATACATGTGGATTAGCGATAGCTTGCAAGAACGCCACATTCAAAGGATGTTTTCCTCACTAGCAAGTTTTAACATGAAGGTCCCAACATCCCTGTTGGCACCGGCCGCTGTGTGCTTGGCTGATGCGTTTCTGGGGCACGCCCCTCTTCTTCAGAGCCATTCCTCTAATGGATCTGTCATTACTAAAGTGCTGTTACATAGAGAACTTGTGAGCTCCCTATGTAATAGCAATGAAGTAAAGTAAAAAAAAGTCCTTCACCCCCCACGTACACACACATATCAACGCAAACACACGTTGGGTGTATCTACATGCAAAAACAATGTTTGTGCGACACATGTTAGGTATCTCCGTATACAGCAGAGTTAGAGAAACAATTTTAGAGCCATTATTCATGATTAACTCTAAAATGATGACCTGTACAGGCTTTTACCGTAATTTTTTGTTGTTAATGGGCACACACAATTTTTAAGCTTGGCATGTTCGTTATCTCTTTACTCAGCACCACCTCCTCTTTTATACTTGCATTGTGTTTTTGTTGTCAAATTAATGTAAGTGTATTTTTTACTGAAATTTTTGATTTGAGAAACAGTTGTCACCATTTTATTCTACACGGTCCTTGGATTGCGGAAATATATAATTTCAGGCCTATAATGTGCCTTTTAACATGTGTGCAAGGAACACAAAAATGGCAACAAAAGGGTTAAACAAGTGGGCTTTTGTTTCTGCGTATTTACTGACCATTTGTTCTTGCAGCTGCTTTATGTCTATAGCACGCCGCTCCATCATTTGAACAAAATGAACTATGGGCAAGAGCAGTGTGCACCTCACCCTCTTGACATTATATCACTCACTTACATTGCAAGCCACATCCCCAATTATAATATAAAAGTTAGGCATACATCGGTTAGGTCTATTGTTCCAAGATTAAAACTGTGCTGTTGGCTAATTTTATACTGCTACATCCAATGCTGTATCTTAATTCAAGCCTTGCCTGTACTCTTTCTCTGGTACATTTCAGCCAATCCTCCATCATTAAAAATGTCCTGCTGCTGGCTAGTTTTACACTGCTGTATCATCGGTGGTCTGTTAATCCTTATTAAGTGTTTGATAGAAATTAGGAAGTGGCAGGACAGTTTTGCATCAGTGAGACCCGGGGAGCCTCATTGAACTACTGGACAGTTTGTAAATGCAGGTCATAGCGGGCCTTTTACTGTACGTGTCTCTGCTAAATCTATTTGAAAAAAACCTTTTTTTTCGACCTGAAATGAATGACTTTTTGGGTGCTGCTGTTGTATGTAACAGCCAAATATGCGATGCCAGTGTACACTGTGACTGAGACTATCCGTGAAAATTGTTCTTCTTCATGACCAAACATACTGCTTTAAGGCGTGAAGGATTTGTGTTTTTTAATGTTTTCATTTTTTGGGGGGGTATTACAGATCAGCTATGGTGCAATGCGTCCAAGCTTCAAAAATAAGTTCCAGTTTCCCTCATTTTTTAGCACAGTCCCTGATGTGAAGGACCAATTTGCAACCATCATCCTCTTACTGAAGCATTTTGGCTGGAATTGGGTGGGCATTGTGACTACAGATGATGAGGACGGTCAGAAGGTCAATACAGAGCTGAAAACTCTTCTGATACAAAACAAGATTTGTGTTGAGTTTGCTGTCACTCTAGCTGACCATTATTATATTAAGAAAAGTGAAAAAGCTTATCGCAGCCTTTCACAATCAACTTGCAGCATTGTAATACTGTATGGTAATGCAAAGACTGATGATCTTATCCAGGCTGTCAATGATATTCCAGCTTTAAGAAAAACCTTTATATTGTTTGGAGCTTTCCAGATATATACCTACAAGTCTATTATTGTTCTTAATGGTTCTCTGCTGATCCATTTGCACAGAGGGAATATTCCGGGACTGAAGGATTATCTGCTTGATATTAACCCTGAGAAATATCCTGATAACCCCATGTTACTTAATGCTTGGGCTAATCAATTCTTTTGTATTCCTAAATCTCTCCTGAATGATTCAGATTATGTAGCATGTACAGAGTCTTATAGTTTACGTTCCGTGGATCCCTCTTATTATGATGTGGAAAATTTTCGCTATACTTTCAGCGTGTATTCTGCAGTTTATGCCCTGGCATACGGCCTACATGATGTATATTTACACAAGAAGATGGAGATCACTGAGACCAGAACCCAAAATTGGCAGCCATGGCAGGTACAAGGGATGTTAAATTACAATAACTTTTGTAAGTCTAAATTTCAGGTCCAAGAACCTCCTGTGATGTTATATATTTGAAATAGTTGAAAAAAGACACAGCCATCGTGTTCAACTAGAAAACACCATTTTAGATCCTCACTAAACTGTGGTTAGCATTTATTCCACCTCCCACACAGACTGTCACAGGCAAACAAAGGTCCTCAGTGGCAGGGATATGTAGCGTGGCAGCAGTGTGGCAAGTGCTGGGATGCTTTCCTTTGCAGAAGTCTGTGACCAATTGTTTGAGGGCATGTTAAAAATGGGTGAGTCATTTCATGGGTGTGGCTACAAATGGGGGAGTGATATTTCGTTGTGTGTTTTAAAGTGGGAGTGGTCAGTAGTGTGTCCCTGTATTTTATTTTCCAAATTTGGTAATTTTACCCAAAATCTGCTGTTGATCCACAAGGCATAGCAGAGAAGGCAAAAAAAACCCCAACAAGTTGTGAGATCTCTGCCTAAGTAGGAACAAATCATTTCTGAACAACAGTCAGATACCCCCATGATCATAAATCTACAGTGCTTTATATTACCTACAGTATACCTTGTCTTTATATAATTTATATCTGCTAATCACTTCTCCAACATCCAGCATTGAGCTGGATGAAAACCATTTACACAGCACTACAGCTACTAGATGGAGATAGAGGAGTGCAGGAATTTCCAATGCTCCTCGGCTCCAACTTGCATTTATACAGCAGCCCCTTAATGTGTGAGCACCATTCAGTGCTGTAGTATTTTGAGACCAGGCCAGCATGATGATGTGCACCTCCCAAGGGAAGGGTGCATGACACTCTGGGTTCAGAGTAAATAGGTTAAATTAGGCTGGCCATCATTGAACCCAGAAGACCGGCAACATCCAGGGAAGAAAAGGAATCACTGCATGCGACAGATCCAGATTGTAGATAAGTATTACCAAAAACTGGAGTTTAATTTTATGCAACAGTATCTAAATACATATTTGAGTGGGAGTCTATAGTGGGAGTGGGACCATTGGCTTGAAAAGGGGCAACAGCAACTATACCTACTAGTCTCATGTAACATGTCCTCAGTCTCTCTGCTTTACTTATTACTAGGGATGCACCGATACTAGTATTGGTATCAGTGCCGAGTATTTGGGCGAGTTCTCCTGCTCACCCAAATGCTCCGATGCCTAGCCCGATACTTCCGTTATCAGGAAGCCGGGCAGCGAGTCATTACACGCTGCCCGGCTTCCTGATTGGCCAAGAAGC